GGGATAAAAAACTGTTTTAAAGGATGTTTGTGCCCTCATGTGTGGATGATTGCTGCTCGCCGGTCGTTGTTTCTGTTAATGAATGATCGCCGCGTGAGCGTCAGGATAAAGTATTTGATATTGGGCCCGGCCGCCGAACGGCCTCAGGCAAAGACGGAGTAGCCGCACACAGGAAGTGACACACCCCGGCCGGGCTGTTATTTCCTCCTGCGTGTCAAGGTGACGACAGTGATGAATGACAAGTCATCTATCATTTACATGTATCTGTTTCGCAGCCCCGCTGAGGAGAGGAGACATTGAATTATACAGGACTGCTCAAATCAAGGTCGCACATGTTGAATGTGGTATTACGCCTCGCGATCCGCCGCTCGACAAAAGACCACCTTGAAATATTGAAATGATAACACATCGCCTGCCGCGACTGCGCGCTTTCAAGTTCCTTTAGGTTACATATCAAATGGAATAACTGTGGAAGGAATGAAAAAAAAACATGCAAAATGTAAAAACGCTGGGATTTAAATTAGAAAAATCTATTCGAGGAGTTTGAACAGATACTGAGAGAGCAGCTCATCTTTTCTATTCCAGTGAAAAAGTTAAAACACGCTGAAAGGAAAAATAATTATTTAATCGTCCCATTGTCGTGTAAATTCCATCTCCTGACCAGCAGCTGTAGCCTTGTGAGACCAACTATTGTTTGGAATAAAAAAACCTCAAAGAAATCAACAGGAACCTTCGATGTACCTGAAGTCACATCTCTGTGAGCTCTGATGGGTCTTTGCTTTTGATTTGATTTTCAAACTGAAACCAGATGAGCCGCCTGCAGTCTTACATTATCCACTTATTACCACATTACTGTGCGCCTTGCATTTGCAGAATCCCATTTCGTTTATAAGCTCAAAACAGGCTTCTATACATTCAGTCACCTACAGCTCTGAGGTTGGTCTCACCATCAATCCACTGCAGAAAAAACAGACGACTTTTAAAAAAAATAAAAATCTTAAAAGCAATTTCCTGAACTAATTTAATGGTTTAGCTCCCTTTTACCTGCAAGAATGTACTTTTTGACATATTTTCTTGCACTCGCCGGCGACGGATCCATACTCTGAGTCACTTCACCTAATTGCCGTGCCGAGGCATCAGTCAGCCATCAGTCAGGTTAAGTGCAAAAACACAGAATTTGAATGAGGCTAATTTGAATACGAGCGGCGAGCCAAAGTGGCGCGAGTGCCCTAAAATATAATGTTTCTCCTAATGTCGCTTTGCTGACCATTAAAACGGCATCACTGGCAGAGCCTGAGCGATTAATCCCAGGAGCGTGATGCGTCTCGTGGTGGAAAGTGTGACGTCCATTAGCGTGACCATCGGGTCCGGGTGACTGAACTATCAGCAGCCAATTAAGAGAGGCGACTATTGACTGTGGACGTGCAGATTTAGGGCTCTCTTGAGGGCCCACGATCAAAACTGTGGGGTTTTCTTTTTTCATTCAGATTATTTCCTCAACTGCACTGGTTCTGGTTTGGTGGTGAGTCATCATGCATCATAGAGGGAGGAGAGTATGGCAAATACAATGACTGTGCCATCTCGGTGAAAAGGGAAATGTGTGTTTGATGCAGTCATGGTTGGAGTAGATCTACAGCTCAGCCTGTTTTTCCTCCATGATGTCATTTCATTTGGAGGAATCTCACCCAAATACACCTTTACAAAACCACACAACCCCTTCGTTTGTAAAGACGTAATTATCCAGATTGCAGTCGCATAAATTCAACTATGTGAACTCGAAAGAACTAGAAAGCAGGATCCGTGTGCACATCTGCAAGGGAGCCTAATCAAAGCTTAATCCAATTAGTAGGTAGTCTGTTCTGAAGGCCTCTTCCTCGAATCTGCTATCAATAATGCAGAGCAGAGCCGGTAGTTAAACTTTGTGCACAAAAAGCGCCAGACCATCAAGCGTAGCCGCGGACACCTCCGGCTTATGTACACGTCAAGTTTGTCATTTTGAATCATTTGACAGTTTTGCCCCCGCAAGTCAAAGCGTGTGTGTTGCATACAGACGCACCGAAAACAATTGACACAGTCCAAATGAAATATTCAGGATCAATTAAAACTTTCCTCAGGGCTAGTCGCTCCCTCTGGATCGGCTTTTCCTGCCGGCCGATCCGTAATCCCTCCACCCGAAAAACTGACAGACACATTTTCCAAACACGTTCCTTCAAAGCACCCTCAGAGATCTGTTTTAGGAATAACATCATCACCAGCTTGATGCCATAGCGACCTTTTCTTTCGGATTTGATGACTAGAATCTTTTTTTTCCACAGCAGACGTTTTGACTTGTCACAGCAGGGAGAGCAAGGTGGAATTAACGACATTAATAATGACCCAGTTGCATGAAGCGTCCCAGTGAAGTCGTGACAGGGAAACCAGCGTGCACAATAGCAGGACCTCCCCTCAGTGGAAAGGAGCTGTCATCAATTTTCCTGAGCTTTTCCTGCTGCGACACGTGAAGATGTCTGCTGTGAAAGAGGTCTATTACTGGGATCATCATTTATCTCCTCACAACGAGGTCGGAGAATCGTGCCCGCAGACTGTCAGCTATCATTGTTTCCGTATAAAACCCTTCATCAAACTTATTAAAGTAACATCAGAAATTAACATATTGCGCCTCGTGTATGACGCTAGACTTGTGTAGTTCTGTGTTTAAAGTGGTGTGAAGGTAATGATTGTGATTCACACAGACTGCCACGCCTCTGTGTTTGCTTTGCGACGGCACCCCGGGGCCAAATGCCTGCAGGTGCACCAGATATGACCGGCCACGCAAACACCGCGGCGTGCGCTTAGCATAGCAGCTGTGCGGTGAGCAGGGTGTGTTTAAGCGTTCCCTGCACGACGCCGCTGGTTTCAGGAAAATATCACCCTCAGACTGAGTTTAATGTGGACGACTCGCAAACACAAACCAGGCGCACACGGTTTCTACATAACGACCACTTCAGTGGCGTCCCGGAGGTACCGCGCCGCCGCCGCCGCCGCCGCCGCACTCTTCAGAGCAGGAGACCAGTCACTTCAGCAGCCAGACGTTTACCGCACGGATCTCTGGAGAGTTCGAGGTGGCTCAAAGTTTAGCTGTGAAAAGAGGGAAATGTGAGGGTTTGCCAGCCTCTTAAGAGCAACTCTGCTGCAGAGCTCCAATCAGCACAATGATCACTGCAGAAGGAAGGAAGGACGGGAGCATTAGCACGAGTCAAGGCGGTACGGAGGGATGAAATTACCAAACTATCTGCATATCTTAGTGACATTACTTGCAGCACTAATCTAACCCACGATGATCGCTACTCGAAGAATGACAACTTCACTAAACACCGATCGCGTTAATAACCTTTAAAAAACGGTTGAAACGTGACTTCTGCGCAGACAGATGGCATCACGATGAGTCAACGGGAAGGAAAGCAACCTGAAATTCAATTTAAGATCAGAGAATTTTCTGCTTTTATTGGTCATTTAAAAGCAAATATCTTCAGGTTTAGGACTTCTGGTTTGACCTGAGCTCCAAGTCGATGTTTGTCACTATTTCCTGATTGAAAAAGCTTCTCCGTCTCTCAGTGAACAAAGTGTGATGTATTGATCATCCGACGGTGGGCTCACTTCTGCTCCACCCGATCGTGCTT